AAATGCGAGTACATACGTGCATCCACTCAGCCTAATAACTAGATCACAAGCAGCACCGAGTCAGGGTCAGGCAGCTGTAAGAGTGTTTAGGGGGAGGGAGAGAGGGGAGGGAGAGAGGGGAGGGAGGGAGAAGAGGGAGAGGGAGGGGAGCGAGGGAGGGGAGAGGGAGGGAGAGGGGAGGGAGGGGAGAGAGAGGGAGGAAGAAGGAGAATGGGGGGAGGGTGAAACGTGGTGGGGAAGGAGGGAGGGGGGGAGAAGGGGGGGATCCCACTTTCACTATCACCCTCAGATGCTCTCCGACACACTCCCTCCCTCCCTCCCTCCCTACCCACCCACACCCCTTAACACGTTTATATATCTCCTTCTTCCTTCATTGCCTTTTCCTCTTCAGACCCGTTGCTATGACCGGACTCTCTCTCTCTCTCTCTCTCTCACACACACACACACACACAACACACACACTCAAAAGAGAGAGAAAAATCCTTTAACAAACTGAAGCTTCGAATCTGTCTCACCCTGTACAAAAAAGGTGTGGTATTGAGCGGATGTTCGAGACCGATTTCGAAACGCGCGCTTTTTTTTTTATTTTTTTTTTTTTTGAGCGCGCCTGTACCTTGTCCCTTCCCTTTATCTAATGCTTTGTGGGTGGTTTGAGAGTTTCATTTAAGCGGTTCTACGCTATATCAACATATACATTTTTTTTCGGTGTGTTGACGATGATGATGCCAATAGTAATGGTGATGGTAATAATGATAAAAATAATGTTAATAATTATAAGAAGATAACATATATATATATATATATATATATATATATATATATATATATATATATATATATATATACATATATATAATATATATAATATATATATATATATATATATATATATATATATATATATATATATATATATATATATATATAATGCTAATGCTGATCATAATTCTATAAGTAATAAGTAATAAAATAATAATATAATAATAATAATAATAATAATAATGTATAATGATAAGGACAAAAGTAATGATGATGATGCTAATGGTAATGATAATGGTGGTGGTGATGATGATAACTGTAGTGATAAGGATAATAATGATGATGATAATAGCATTGATATATAGCGTTGATGATAATAATAATATTGATAAAATAAAAAACGACAACTACAATCATAATGATGATGGTAAAAATAATGATAATAATAATAATAATAACAATAATGATGACAATAATGGTGATTGTCATTACCTCTATAGCATTGATAAGATAATGATAATACAAGTGTTGATAACAACAATATTTATTACTACTACTTTTGGTATTATAATCATGCTTAGTAATATCCTTATCATTACAATCATTGTTAACATTAAGATCATGATCATCCTTATCACTATTACTATTATTATCGTTGTTATTATCATCATTATCATTGTTATTATCGTTATCATTAATTTTATTACCATTATTATTACTATTATCATTATCAATTATCATCACTATTTATCATTTCATTTTCATTATTATATTATCATAATTATCATCATTAACATCACTATTATAATCATTATCACTAGCATCACCATCCTTATTATCAACATTCTCATTATAACAATTACTATTATCATTACTATCACTATTATCATTATTACAATTACCAGTAGCATCATTATTATTATCATTTCTATTTACTACTATCTTTGTCATTATCATTATCACTCTCACCATCACCATAATTGATATTATTATCAATATTATTACGAAGAAGATAATCGTCATTTCCATCATCATTAACAGGGAGACAGCGAAGGAAAGAAGAAAAGGAAAGTGGTAGGAAACGATAACCAAGACACAATAACGAATGAAGGAAGAAAGAGAAGGAGAAAGAGAAGAGAAGAAATGGGGGAGAACAAAGAAAAAAGGAGACGGTAATAAGTAGATAGATGGAAATGGATGGAAAAGAAATGATGGAAAAACTAAAAGATTTCAATTCATGTTGAAGAAATAGTGAAGAACGTAATAACAAAATAGAACCAGATGAAAATTGAAATGAAAAGATGGAAACAAATTACAACGATTTTTTTTATCACGAAGAAAAGTAAAAATAAATAAATAGATAAATAAATAAATGCAAACAAAGGAACAAAAAGAAAAAAAACAGTCTAAAAAGAAATAAAAAAACGAACATGCAAAAGTGAAAAGATATGTAAAGGGGGTAATAGGCAGGGAAATATAATGGTTCACATGGGGGGAAAGTGGTGAATGTGATGACATAGTCGACTGTCACGTGAAAGTCCACTTCTTCGGATTCAGCACAGTTTACGTCCACTTTCTTGCCAGATTCAGCACAGTTTAAGCCCACTTTCATGTCAGATTCAACACAGTTTAAGCCCACTTTCTTGCCAGATTCAGCACAGTTTCCGTCCACTTTCATGTCAGATTCAGCACAGTTTCCGTCCACTTTGATGTCAGATTCAGTGACTTTGCTGCTGAGCAT